AATAAAATACAACGGTCACATACTCACATGTACGAGTGATTAAAGTTTACAGGCAAAAGTGTTTTGTCACATAATATACTTGTGTAGAAAGTGAAATATTTGCCTATAAACTTTAATCGCACGCGAGTCATAAACAAAATTCTGTGAAATTTCATCAATTTTATCATCCAAAAGATGAAAAGTTTGAAAAGTCAAAAGTAATTGTGATCCAATAGTCAAATAATACAAATTTGTTCGACCATAAAGTGACAAAAACTCTATTAAAAAGATTGTTGCCCTCATGAGCTTAATTCAATTATTCAGTAAGTATATTTGGAAAAGAGATAAAATTCAAACTTTAGTGACAGTAATGTGAAGATTATGCACAAAATAGATAGATCTATTGTGTGCACTAACATTTATCTGCCGAGTCAACGAGTAAGGTGATTTAGATTTAAACTTAATTAACCATTGAATATTGTGAATTAATTGTAGGAGAATGGTGGAACGCCAACGTCGTTGACGTGGAGAACCAAGCCCTGGCTAACGGCAGCGCTCCTAGAAACTCTGACGCTTACACCATTAATGGCCGCCCCGGAGATCTCTACAATTGCTCTGCTAATCGTAAGATCGACGATCGTAATAATATGAATATTCATTAACATTATTCAGCTCAATTTTATGAAATTAAATTTTTTTTTTTTTTTAAGATACGTACAAGTTGAAGGTGAAACAGGGGAAAACGTACCTTCTCCGTATTGTCAACGCTGCGCTCAATAACCAACTGTTCTTTAAGATCGCCGGCCACGCCATGAAAGTGGTGGCGGTGGACGCTTCTTACACTGATCCATACGTCACCGACGTCGTCGTCGTATCTCCGGGACAGACCACCGACGTTCTCCTCACCGCCGACCAGTCCCCCGCGCGGTACTACATGGCGGCCAATCCTTACGCTAGCGCGCCCAATGTGCCGTTTGATAACACCACCACCACCGGAATCGTCGAGTACGACGGCGCTAGCTCGTCGGCGCGGCCGGCGATGCCGGTACTCCCGGCCTTCAACGACACGCCGACGGCTCACAGATTCTATAGCAACCTAACGGGGCTGGTGAGCAGCCCGTTTTGGTCATCTCCCCCGCGCCACGTGGACGAGCGGATGTTCATCACAGTCGGGTTAGGGTTAGTGGCGTGTGACCGACCCGGGAACCGGAGCTGCGGCGGGCCGAACGGGCAGCGATTCGCGGCGAGTATGAACAACGCGTCGTTTCAGCTTCCGACGAAGCTGTCAATGTTAGAGGCGTTTTTCTTCAACGTCGACGGGATCTACACCGCCGACTTCCCCGACCGGCCGCCGGTGAAGTTCGACTACACGAACTCCAGTCGGAGGTTGAATACGTCGGCGTTGATCACGACTACGAAGTCGACCAAGGTTAAGAAAGTGAAGTACAATGCGACGGTTGAGATGGTGTTTCAGAACACCGCCTTAGTTGCCGTCGAGAATCACCCCATTCACTTGCATGGCTTCAATTTCTACGTTTTGGCTCAAGGATTTGGGAACTATAACCCATCCGTTGACCGGAAAAAGTTCAATCTCGTCAACCCTCAAGAGCGCAACACCATTGCTGTCCCCGTCGGTGGGTGGGCCGTCGTCAGATTCCGCGCAAATAACCCTGGTAATTTCGATCTCTTTTGTTTTTTACATCATTATTAATAGCTGATTGATTTTATTTTGAAATACTTGTGAACTTTTACAATGTAGTATTTATTCTATACTTTTTTAAATAATTTCAGTCTAAAGAATCTGAGTCTCATCATTAAAATTCAATTCTAACTTAATAACTAGGATGTCATCACACTACATGATAATTCGCAATAACGAATTGATTTAAAAGAAGAAAACTAATAAGTTGGTTCTCACTAAAATAAAAATTCTTGATTTTCAATCACCAAAAGATCATTATAAACTTAGAATTTGTAGTTGAAAAATGTCTTTTCTACCATTTTGGGATTTGAAAAGTACTTGGTGCTAGTATGGAACACATGTCAAAAGTTGACAATAACATTGACCACTCATTAAAATCATTAAAATATTTAATAGCTAATTAGGTCTATCATATCTCTTAATTTATGACTATCCCATAGTTAGAAATCTAATAATTAAGGAAAAAATTATATAACCCTAGGTAACTATGATAAAAACTTGGTGCCAGAAGACAAGAAACAAAAACTTATTTACCTTCCGACATAAACAACTTTTTGACATAAATAAACAAAAACAACCACGGTTGGAAATTATGAAATTTTCGACCACTTGAAAGTGATCTTAAATCAAATCAAAAGCAAAAAATGGTCGGAAATAGCAACAAAGGTTTTTCCGGATATCAAAAGTGATCGGAACAAGACTTTCGACTTGATTTACTATCACTTTCAGGTGGTCGGAAATTCCATAATTTCCAGCAGTGAACAATTTTCTATCTATATCCCAACAACAATTTTACTATTAAGGGGATGTATGGTAAATAATTTTTAGTTGATTGGGTTAGTGAGTTAGACTAGTTGATAACAGTAGTTGATTGTATAAAAGTGTTTGGTAAATTAGTTGTTAGCTGCACGTAAAATAACTTTTTCAAAAAACTTATCAAAAATGCTGCTTTGAGCATCTTTTTGAATTTTAGCATTTTTTAGAAATAAGTTGTTACAAAAAGCAAATTAATCAAACACTCGTATTGATTGTTACACAAAAGACTAACAAATTGTTTGTTTTTTTAGTACTACGAACTCTATTACAATGCAGTATCTGTCCGCAGTATCTGTCCATAACTACTTTCCCAACCTATTAAAACACAAAAGAGTCAATACCGTCTCCACTAATTAATATTCGAACCTATAACCTTCCATATGTGAAGTAACTTGGTGCCACTAGACTTCTTAACAAACTCTTTATATTTATTAGTTGCATCAAAATTGAAATAGTTTGGAATGGGTGTAGGTATATGGTTGATGCATTGTCATTTGGATGTACACTTACCTTGGGGTCTAGCAACGGCCATAGAAGTGGAGAATGGGCCGACGCCATCAACCACCTTGCCTCCTCCACCGCTGGATCTACCCAAGTGCTAGCTAGCTTCGTCAACCCACACAAAAACATTAATACACAATAATTTCATCATCCATTGTATTCTTCCAAAATTAATTATTTTTTTGCAAACCCATTTATTATTTTACAAATTTCCCTATTCTTTTAGGTTATGTTCCATGAATGTTGTACTTTAAAATTGTTTTAGTTATACATGTTGCAATTGTAATGAATAATCATTTGTTTTAGTTCCTCTGTATCATATTTCTTTTAGTTGCAAACCAAACTCAATTTTATTAATAATATAAATGAATAAATAAAGGTAAGAACTAGCACCAACTAAAAGGTTTCAATTATGAAAGTTTAGCTTAAAAAAAAAAAAAAAAAAAAAAAAAAAAAAAAAAAACTATATACATAAATCAATATAATAGGTATTTGCCGTTCATATAACAGACTTGACCTAGAATATATTGATAATAATTAAATTTGTGACATTTTAATACAAGAATCATATTTCTCTTATTATTTTGAATTTATAAGTATTTTAGATAGACTTAAATATAAAATATTTAAGCTATATTAGATCTCATTATCCACAACCTGATCAATATGACCCCAAAAAAAAAAAAGGTAAATAATTAAAATAAATTAATTGGGAATAATGAGAAATGAAAATAATAAAGAATAAGATTATACCAGGCAGGAAATGAAGCGTGTTTCTTCCATTGCTGTGATCAATAAACAATTGCGTTGCGAAGCAAAAAGACAAAACAGATCAAGAGAGATTCAACTTCGTGGTCTTCAACCATGGAACCACAACAACGAGAAGATTGAAAATCCCCTATTCAGGCGATCCATCAATCCCTAACGCCGCCGTACGTAGCAGATCTCCGCACCTCTTTTTCCCCAAGGCCATGCGCCACCGGAAAACGCCGGCGACACCGATACAACAGCCAGTTGCCAATATCGCCGCCGATCCGCCTCGCTACCGTGGGGTCCGAAAGCGGCCATGGGGGCGATTTGCAGCCGAGATAAGGGACCCCGTGAAGAAAGCCCGGGTTTGGCTCGGTACCTTCAACACCGCCGAGGAAGCCGCGCACGCCTACGACACCGCCGCGCGCGCCTTCCACGGCCCTAAAGCCAAAACCAATTTCGGCTTCACCGATCGTCGCGATAACGATAACAATAATAATCATAGCCATTCGATTATTCCTCCGGTTGCACTCCCCGGCGAGACTCACTTCCAACGCTTTCCCTATTCTCGGCCGGCAAGCAGCAGCCTCAGCAGCACGGTGGAGTCCTCCAGCGGACCTCGCCCGCCCTCCGATCGTAATAAACAGCCGCCGCCGCGTCCCAAGGTTCCGGTTCCTCCGCTACCAGACGATTGCCACAGCGATTGCGATTCGTCATCATCCGTGGTGGACGATCAGGATCAAACCACGTCGTCATTCTTCCCCAAACAGCCCCTGTCCTTCGATCTCAACCTGCCTCCTCCTCCCTTGGACGACTTCGTCGCCGACGAGTTAAAGGTCACCGCCCTACACCTTTGATTCTATCGACGGTGATGCTATCCCTAATTTATCTTACATTCTTGATGATGATGAAAAAAGATATTATTCTCATTTTCCTCTTCCCAAATTTTCTACTTTCCATCTCTTTTTATTTTTCATTTTCCACTGGGTTGTTTAGATTTGATCTAGCTGTAGATTAGTACTGGAGCTTTGAACCTATGATTGATACAATCTGTATTAAACAAAGATTGTATCTAAGTATCTGTATTCTACCTGTATCTTCTTTAGCATTTCTATATATGTACAAACAATCTTATCATCCCAATAACCATAAATAGATTGCATTACAGAATCAGTTCTGAGGTATCACAGGCTAAGTAGAAGCAAAACTAGCCAATTGCGCCATAAAAAAGATTCTGGTCCATTCATGTAGAAATGGATTGTCAGAAGTTAGACCTTAAATCTATCTACTCATACTATATAGCACATTAAATTTACTTTCCTAATTCCTATGACTACATGCCGGGCAAAAACACTTTGTTACCCTTCCGGATGCTATAATCTTGCTTGGGTATCTACAGCTTTCATCAACAGAACAACAAAGACAATGTTATTGTCAATTCAGCAGAAGAACATGGAGTTGTCAACCTCCTCGTGCAACCTGGGCAGCTCCGGGACTGTAGTGATGCTCTTCTGTTCGGAAGAAGTTTCGGAGGGATCCTCAAACTTGACAAACTGTCCCACCTGGCGGGCGGCTAAGTGGGCATAATAGACAGGTGCAACTGCACAAACAAAGCAGTGAGATGAAGAGCCGAGGAGGACCTTTTTTTTTTCTGATTCTATAGCTGAATTCATGTCACAGAGCAAGCATTGCAATAATTTGCATAAAAGTAGACTAGTAGTTGAGGGCAAGTTAACATACCTATTGATATGGCTGCAGAGCCCCTTTGACACCTGAAAATTTGAGGCAGGGAATGATAGTCAATGAGTACAGTGTACAGGTTGGGACAAAAAGTTTACTAGTTAGAAGGCTTACACATATGATAGTGAATGGACTAGGTTTTGCAAGCCATCAGGAGAGAAGCCAATTTCATCACACAAGACATGGTAATGGGCAGGTCGAGTAGTCCCCTATTCGAAACAAATATAGATTTTCAGCTTCACTAAGGAAATTTGAATGATTAGGCAAAGAGGATATAAAGTCTAGGATAACAATTCCATACAAATACTATTCTAGCATTTATTGATCTGTATGCCTATTCTAGAACCAAATGCATTGTCAAAAGAAGAAAACAAATACCGACACCCTCACATGCTCAAGATTCAGAAAAGTTAATGGAACCAATCCTATTAACTAGTAAACCCTAGTTAGAATTTAGAAAACACTGCTAAAACTTACAATCACCCCTGCATGAGCACACATGTAAAAGTCATAGCTTCTTGGATGCACTACTTTTGTGTCGACAACTGTACCTGAGGAGAGAGCAAACCTCAGCACAGGCAGTATCAATTAGAAAGTAGCATGATAGTAAGAAATACAGACCTGCCGGAACATTTTCTGGGGCACCAGCTTGAAATACCCTTGTGTGGTGTTTCTTCTGGACCACAATTACAGTAAATTTGGGAACTTTAACCTCACCTAGATGCTGGTAGGCCTGTAGGTGAAAAGGTTTGGCATTCCCCATATCAAGATTAGTGTTATGAGATGATACTAGAAAGCACCTGCTTGCAGAGAGGCTAACAAGAGTTTCACTTAGAAAACAAAACAACAGCTTGCATTCCCAGCATTCCAGCAGATAAGATAGGTGCAAAACTACTGGGTCAAAATCCAAGGCTAAGTCTTTGCTTGTTTAGGAGAGGGAAGATAATTCAACCAAACAAAATCTAATTTAAAGTTGTTTATGATGCTAAAACAAAATTCTAATGTTTCCAGAATTCACCATGCAATGCCATTGATAACATATGCAGGAGAAAAAAAAAAAAAAAAAAAAAAAAAAAAAAAAAAAACAGATTACCTTGATCATCTGATCCAGCTCTATGTTTAGAACTTGACTAAATTGTGATTCACTAACACCATCCCTGAGAGAGATTTTTTGTACCAAGTTAAAGCATATCTGGTGTTATCATTGTAACAGTCTGATTGTGAATAAAGCTTAGAACATGGTGCAACAAGTGAACACAACAATTAAATGCAATTGCACTCAATCTGTCGATTTTCCTGGAAAACTTTGGGATGGATGAGCACTGATATGACTTTCTTTCATCTTAAGCAACCAAACAGATTATCATAAATATGGAATACCTGAAAACAATGATGTGGGCTGGTTTACGCCCATTGTTTGTTTGATAAAATTCCAAAAGCATCTCTCTGTAGCACAGTGCATATGCATTTATTCATAAGGTTGCTATACAAATCTTGATAAGTAAATTGATTTACGTGGCATAGCTCAAGATGATTTCAAATTGATATAGTACCTCATGATACCATCATCCTCGCCATTTGCTAAAGGCTTGAATAAAGATTCTATCATTTCTACCTTTGGAGATTGAGTTCTAACAGCTGCCCTGTATTTTGATATCAATGGCCAATATTGAGATCCAACCACCTGGCAGACCAGAAATGGACAAGAAATTAGTATGAACTGTATCTAATTGCCAATATACTTGCATAAAAGAGATATAGAGGAACAACCGCAGCAATGGATGGAGCATCTGATTGTCCGGGAGATCCATGAGACACATCCATGCCCAAAATCATCGTTGGAGTGTCCTGAACTATAGGTATAGCGGGCATTTGCTCTATTGCCAACAACGAATTGGTCCCTCCAAGCTTTTCAAAAAATGATGTTATATTAAGTAAAGTTACAAATAGCAAAGAAAGTTACAGTTTCTGTTCATTGTATGCAAGGGTTATTAAAATGCTGATCATTGATTAACAAATTACCTTAGTATTGATTTTGAGAAGAACATTTGTAAGGTAATGGTCATTAATCTTTGTTGGGGAAACACATTGCGTGACAATACCAACATCTGTCAAGCATTTTTTCTTCCAAGGTCCTAGACATTATTGAGAGGAAATGTTTGACATTTTGCTCTGCCAAAAAAAAAAAAAAAAAAAAAAAAGGAACAAAAAGAAAGATTCTATTACCATATATATCTGAATTTTTGCGCTCTGGCAAGACACAAAGAAGAAGCTGAGGAGGGGCAGGGAGCTTGGACATTATCAGTTCAAACATCTTTTCCACCCGAACTATAGGACCAGATCGTCGATACTGGGGATCTTCCTCAACAAGAGTGTGTGGCCGTTCCATATGCTGACATGCAAACCATGTCAAATAAATTAACGGGGATTTTTTAGTGGAAATCCACAATTTTGAAAATAGAAAATCAAGGTACATACAATGCCTTTGTTCCTTGCACAGCTAATCAGCTCCCTTGAAAGATGACTTGTATCACAACGTGCAGAGAAGTTGACCACTGCCCAGCGCTCAATCCGTGAAGGTTTCAAAACTTGCTATATATATGTATATATAAAAGAAATCAACTTGGAATCTGCAAGGATAGTTTTCTTTGTTCACCCCCTCTTCTTTTTTCTTTTTTTTTATCCCTTTGGTGTGTGTGTGTGGGGGGGGGGTTGGGGGGGGGTGGGGGGGTGTATTTCTAGATCCCTTTCAAATTTTACATATATTAAAATACCTTATTGTTGAAGTTCCACCTGCCATTACGAGGAATGCAATCTTCACCATTACCAACCTTTAACTACAAATCATAAAAGAATACTATCCAAGTCTATTTACAAGTTAAAAATATAATAATTATAATCACTGACTGAATCTTAAAGTAAACGTAGAAACTACCTTTGGTGCATCAAGGACCCGGCCCTCAACTTGCATAAGCTGCTTTTCAGTTGAAATTCCACAAGCAGCGAGAAGTGGATCATCATCATAGCAATAGTTTTTCACTGCCTGCAAGTTTAATCAAGGCATAAACCAAGGGGAAAACAATGAGAAATAAGTGATGCAACTACTTACATCAGTTACAACTTGAATTCTTGCGATAGGCTTCTGCCTTGATTTTTCAACTAAAGACGCTCTTTGCAATGAAGATAGTGCCTTTGTGTATCTTTGAAGAGACACCAAGGAGCATAGCTATAATTCAGGAAAGAAAGAACTTTCAGACCATTTAAGGCAGAACGCATACTGAAAGCACTGAAGTAAACATCAGAAGTATAAAGATAATGAATTCTGCACACCTCCAATGGCAGGTAGATTGGCTTTTTTGGCTTTCCAACATCAAGGCATGGCATAAATGCAGAATATGTGAGTTCTATATTACGGTGCTTAGTGAAGTAGTCAGAAACAGTAATCTCCATCACCTCCCCACAATCATGTGAACCACCACCATTTTTCACTTTCATTGAAAAACTTTAAAAGACATACATCAAAACCATAATCTGTTCATCTGTAGATAGCATAAAGTAAATGTGGTGCAAGACATCAAGAACTTACAATTGCTTATTGCAAGGCAGCTCACTTAAGCCTGTGATTTTAAATTCCCTGTTGCTATGCGTAGCTTTAACCCTCATATTTTTTAACATTTTTTTTGCCTGTAAAAGTTGCAGTGTAATTAAATTTAGAATATAGGAGGAAATAATACTAAGGTCTACTATTGCTTACTCTTGCCCAGTCAATGTCAATATACCGACGTTCCTTTACACCCTGATTTGCAAGCAAAAAATCAACTACAGGTCCCGGTGTCAGTATCAGAGTGGTAGAGACATCTGCAACAATGAATTGAGTAGCATTTAATTTGCTTATTTTGAAGAATGATATGCATCAGTTAAAGTTTGTTCAGGGGATACCCATATTGAGGGACAAGCCACCATGAGTTGGGTGAAAGCTAGAATGGAATCCCCAACAACCACTTACACCCCCTCCAATTTCAGTGAAATTTCTTGAGTCATCATGAAAGAAGGATTGCCCAACCAAAAGGCACCCTCTGTGGCAAGCATTTATAGCTACATAAGTTTTAGCTGAAACATTTGTTGCACATGATATGAAGAAATATATTGCTACCTATTTGCTGCTTGTTGTCGCAGTATAATGTCAAGGACCCTGAGTGCATCTTGAACGTGTTCAGAATCAGCTCCTTGAAGGGCAAGACATACAGACCTCAAAGGTATCTTAGCAGCATAACTGATCTCCACTATGAAAATTTTTGGTTGTAAAGAGCACTTCAACCTTTTAACCGACTCATCAGGGCATCCACTGGTCCACATATAAGACCATAATAAGTGAATAAGGTAAATATAAAGAGGTGCAGCAAGCCAGCAATACTAGTAACGGAGACGGTGAAAGAATTTTACTGTTTAGCAATAGACTCTTCAAGAACTACAGTATACTTCATGTTGTTCTGTGGTAGGGGTCCCACTGCATACAAACATTTTTCTCCATCAAAAGCAAACCTCTTCCCAGAAAATTCAGAAGAATATGTCTGATAAAGTTTATCCATGATTTTTCTCCCAATTCCTCTGCTGTTAACAGCACTCTTGTCATCAAAACTAATTGTAACCTGTTAAAACATTTTATGGTAAGTTTCAACAACTAGCATGACACCTCAAATTAGGGAAAAATATGGTGTAAATTATATTCCTACACTATACTGGTAAAATATTTCATCAGGGCACTTCAGAGAAACTTTAAAATGGTTTGCAAGCAAATTGATGCGTCGTCCAGAAGTCCCAAACCCAGGCCTTGTCATAATAGACCGTTTAGGTTGGTCAACTTGTTCTGGCCCTGTATTTGAATGTACAATTGGTGGTGAGGCCAGCAAAGGCGCAGAACCACTTTCATCACCGTGATCAGTTGTTCCCATCTTTTGATCAGAAATGCTACCTGAATAATTTAGCAGATCAAGTTGATAAGCATCTTACTTGAATGAATCACAGGCATAATAGCACACAGACAAAACACAATAATCAACTTTAGTGGAACACATTAGATTCCCTGAAGGCCATGGTGCAAATAGCATAATTTTGTTTTGATTTAATGGAACGAATCCTTTTGTCTGGGTGATGATTGGAAGTAATTTCTCAAACAATGAAAGACATAAATAAAAATTGGAAAAACTCCCCATATCCGGTATCCCAACAATGCAAAAGCAATATCTATTCCCACAACAGTGACTAGAAGAAAAGAAGGCAACAAAAAAAAAAAAAAAAATGTTAAAAAATAGGAAGCATCTATTCCCAAAACTTCCTGACCTCTAAAAGTAAAACACAACTTGGCATCACTAGCATTGCTTGAAAAATATACCAGCCTTTACTTTGACAGCATAGAGAAACAAAAATTATTCCTTGACTAATAAAGGCATGCAACTTCCAATACCAAGGCCCACAATGGATATGGCAGAAATCCAAATACATGAATAAAATCCCAATAATAATCACAAAGTTTAATCCTAATAAAACAGATAACATCAATTTTTAAACGAACAAGCATTATTGAACACTCCATACAATCCCGCCAAGCAATTAAAATAAACACAAAAACAACCATCATATACATCCATTTCAAATGCAGGAATGAAACTGAAGCAACCTCAGAGCAATTAAAACAGCAATGCATAACAAAAACAGCAATGCATAACAAAAACAGCAATGCACATACATGCATATAAAATTTCACAAATGCAAAACTGCAGACGGCCTTTAATTAATAGCATAATAAGATGAATACATCTCTAACCTTATTTGCGATGATTGGTGCAGGCCGATTGTTTCGCTTTGTTAGGGTTTTGAAGGACGGAGAAATCGCGGATAAGAAAAAAGACACGAATAAATGCAGACGCTCTCTCCGCAGCGCACGTCTCTACCTCGGCTGGAGAATGCTCGGAGTCCGAAATGGAGCGGAGTGTGTTCCGTGGACTGGAGGGAAGAGGGGACTTGAGAGGGTGTCTATAGAGTATAGACTATTGTAATGATCCCAAGTCTACTATGTAGACTAGTTTCGATTTTCGAATAATGTGTTCTTACGAAATTTTCTTTTTCTTTTTATTTCTTGGAAAATGTAATTCCATTTTTGGTTCTACTCTAGAAATTCTATTTCTAGCTTTTTTTTTATTAAATACTCCGTATCTTTATTTGGTCTTAACATTCTTGTGACATTACCCTTTTTAGTTCCCCGTTAATGAAATGTCTTAAAATGCAAAGACATTTTAATATTTTTTATATAAAGTAGGTTGAACTGCTATATTTTATGTTTATTTTTTAAAAAGCATAAGTATAAATTAAAATGTCCTTTTATTTTTTTTTTTTTTAAAACTCGCCTTCAAAAGATTTATTATAATAAAGAAGCAATACAAGAAGGGAAAGTAGAAATCCAATATAAATGACCAAAAATGTCCTTTTATTTAACAATATTTAAATTGTTTTGTTAATAAATGACCAAAAATTTTCATGCTACAATAACACTAATGCTCTATTTGGAAACTCGGAAAATGACTTCTGGAAAATGTTTTCCGAAAAATGAGTCATTTTCTCGAAAATATTTTAATTTTCGATGTTTGGCTATACAACGGAAAACTGTCTTTGTGTGTTTAGTTCATTTTCCATAAAATGAGTATGAAAGTAATAAAAATTGTATATTTTAACATTTTAATTATTTGATATTTTTAATACACTGTATAATGTTAAGTGTACACTATATACATATTGTGAAGTATACATATATATATATATATATATATATATATATATATATATACACACACACACACATTATACATACTATATATACACACAATATGCACATTATATATATATATATATATATATATATATATATATATATATATATATAGGGCAGGGTTCCAGTGAGAACATGTGTTTATGTGAGAACGTGAGAACAAATCATGTGCATCTATCTAATATTAAAAGTTTATGTTCTAATAAAAAATAACTTAAACCTTGAGGGTATGATTGAGTATAACTGACTCATCCATCCTTAACCAAAGGTAATCTAACGAGGGGATTAGTCACTGTGTCTGACGGAGAGATTAGTCCTTGTGTCCGACGATGAAAACTCTGAGTATATCAAAGAAAAAAAAAAACAAATGACTTAAAAGTGAACTGTCACCTATAAATTCAAAATCAAAAATTAAATTAACTCTATAATATTTTATATTCGTTAACTATTTTTATACTCTCTAACATATTAATAGTATGTATTCAACTTAATATACTTCAAGCTTAAAACCTTCATTATAACAAAAAAAAAAAATATTCATCATACTACAATATATTTTTGAAGTGATTGACCTCGTTTCATGTTTAAAATTTTTAATTATTAACTAAATATTATTATCACACAATAAAGTGAATATTATGAGTTACGACAATTCGATTAACAAGATATTTTGGTGATTTTCTTTATGGACCATTTTTTAAAAAATGAATACAATTATAATATTACTAGTATTTTCTATGTGCAATGTGTAAAATTAAGTGTCCAATACCAATACTTTTTATTAAAATAGGTATTCAATGTTTTTTTTTTTTATTCCTCCCTAAAACTACAAATTGAAATAAAGTCATGAGCAATACAATCATATTTGATTAATACTAATGCCATTTTTCCCATAAAAAAAAAAAAAAAAAAAAAAAAAAAAAACTAATGCCATTTGTATTTTTATTTTTATTTTTACCACGCAATATCACGTCAGTTAGTAAAAAGCCAAAAGCTCTCTTAATTCATTTGTCACCACCAGAGCTACTATTGACGTCTTTAAAGAAGGAATCTACATGCCAACTACCATGTAATTAATGGCATTCTGAAAATATAAAACAAATACTACCTTATAAAAAATTATGAGCATTTCAACATAAAAAAAAAAAAAGGAAAAAGAATAATGGATATGGAAATTAAAAAAAAAAAAAAGTAATTGTTATATTCAATAGAAACAACCAATTAATTAGTTTGTTAAAGTAACTATACTTACTATAAATACATAAATGAATGTTTAAAAAAAATACTCCTAATTATGAAAGTCTCCTCATTTGATCGATCAATTATCATCTCATTTGCAAATATAATATCTTGATGACATAGTTAGTTAAATATTAGAGCTTGCTCATCAATTTAATGGGAAAATAATAAAGATTATTATATATTGATGTGGTTATAACTTATAAGGCATTATTATTGTCTCGATAGCTTAATTACTAAGGGGATGTTTAGTTCATGGAAAATATTTTCCAAAAGAAAATATTTTTCTTAAAGTGGAGGAAAATATTATTTTTTTTGGTGTTTGGTTCATGGAATTCATTTTTCAATGGAAAATGAATTCATCAAATTTGAGGAAAATAAAATCCTTGATTTGACCAATATTTTGTTTTCAATGGAAGATGGGAAGAAAATGTGATAGAGTTTAACTATTTTACCCTTGGTTTCTTTCTTAACTATATTACTCTTATTAATTTGTAGGGGCATATAGGTCTTTATACTCGTTATTCCTTACAATTTCAAATCTAACCAAACAATAGAATTTTAGTATTCCCAGTAATTCATTTTTCACCAACCAAACAATGAAATTCATCTTCTTAGTAATTGTTTTTCCATTAAATTTCAATTCCACTTCCCTTAAAATATTTGTTCGCAAACCAAACAAGCCCTAAGTTAGTGAATTTTTCACAAGCACGCTTAGTTGGGAAACTAATTAAAAGGGTCAGGCAGCATCATTGACAATTGTCAATTTTGTCACCGTTTCACTAACCATCACATCAACAAAATGCACGTGACATGTCGATTTTATTACCTAGTTAAAGGATGTCATGCTAGCCCAATAAAATCAACCACAATAATAGTCTAGTTTTTTTTTTGTTTTGTTTTGTTTTGTTTTGTGAGTATTTAGGTGCCATCTAGGAATGAGAAGAGGGAGGGAAAAAAAAAGGAGAAATATAAAAAAAGGAAAAAAAAAAAAAAGAATCTAACACGAAATCATTTAAAAAAAAAAAAACAAAAAACAAAAAAAAAAAAACTAAGTAGGTAACGCACTCGGTTGGGCGCTTGCCCTCTCCAGCACGCGAAGACAACCCACAAGCTTTGTTTTCATTTCTGAAAATGTGGACCCCACAAAAGTGTTTCAATTGCAGAGTTGCAGAAAATTAATATTATTTGAGAAAAAAAAAAAAAAACATCTCCCATCAGTTTTCAACCTCAACCTTTGATTTTTTATTTAAAAAAAAAAACACATACGTGGTTGCTATTCGTAAAAAAACTTCATTTAAGTTTTTATATCTGAGAAGATCCCTAAAATCTACAAATGGGACTGCTCTAAGCAATTTACCATAATGGTATTTCCAATTGTGTCTATTATACATACAACTTAGTTCATACGTGTTAGGAATTCAAAATCTATTTTTATTATTTTTAAAATTGATTTTTTTTTGTTTAATATTAGTTTTTAATGTAGTTTATAGATATATAAATTGTATATACTAATACTAAATATAATATCATGAAAATTGAATTAAAAATAACTTAAATTAAAACTCGTTAATGAAGCTAGACAAATAGAATGAGACGGAGGGAGTAATAAGAAAAAAAAAATCATCTTCCATAATGGGTTGTTTGTTATAGTGTAGTTGCAATTTAATTGTAAATTTGTAATGTTTTCAGGGCAATATAAATTACAGTGTTTGGTTAGATGGAGTTACAATTCCACATAATTGCAATTCATTTATTTTGTGAAATTGAAAGTCATACCCTCTCCATACGAATTGACAATTCAATTGAAAATGAAGAAAAAGATTTCTTTACCCTTGATTATTATTGACGGTAAATATGTTACCGGATAATATTATTATGTAACTGAGACAATGTAATTTGTGTTGCAATAGGTTTGAGTACAAGATAATGAGCGTGTCTTAGAGCATCCACATTAGTTGGGAAGAATATGGGGATAATGTAAGAGTGATTAGGAGAGAGAATGTGGGGAAGGGAGAAAAAAAAATAAAAAAACTAAAATTAAAAAACAAACGAAAAATAAAATAAAATAAAAAGAAACTGTCAGGTGCGCCGTTCGGCGCGCCTGACGCGCCCTCGGGCGCGTGCTTGTCACGCGCCCGTGTGGGCGAGCTGCTGTGCGCGAAACGCGCACAGCAGCTCCTCTTTTCTTTTCTTTCTCTTTCTTCTTTTTCTGCATTCTCCCCAATTTTGCAAGATAAATATCTCCACAATTATCCCCACCCCACATTTGTTATTATCCCCTTTGAGAAGAATTAATACTGAAATCTTTCCCTAATATGCACAAGTGTGGATGCTCTTAGTACATAATATTGAGCGTGTCCCCTGCTAGCTGATGGGAGTTCTACTTATACTGGGTCCTAACGGTAACAACATGGTGGGACATAAATGGGGAGTTGAGACCTTTAATTATCTCTTCTTCAATGGTGACAATAAATGACAGTAAAGTTACCACTCATTGGTATTCTGCCCGTCGAGTTTCCATGTGGTGCCGGGTCAAATGCCTGTTGATGATCCGGTCGGGTGCCAACACCATTATTCTGTCAATTATTATTATTATTACATAATTGATGTAGATTAAATCACCGTAGTTCTGTACAGTAGAATAGCATGTTGATCGGTCTAATAACGTGACCGGGAACCTCTTAATTACAGTGTGTCTAGTAGGTGAAAAGTCCTCCCTAAGGTAATAAATGAGGTATTTATAGAGGGCATAGGGAGCAGCGTCCGGTCTTCCAGCATGACGGGCACGTGGCATCCATGCACCGGGCCTCGCGGGGGCAGGCATGCAGTCGAACACGTGGCAGGCAGCCTCTAACGATAGCTGTGTCCCCAACCTGGTCGAGTCGAGCCGTGGAGCTGCCCGGTCTTCCTTCCCGGTTACCGGTCTTACCTTGGTCAACTGTTGAGTGAAGCGGCGTAAGCCCTCTAACCAGGTGACCGGGTAGAGGCTGGAGCATGCTGCTCACCGGGCGAAACA